AATACAGCTAGTTGTGGATGTCTAAAGTTTTTATGGATTGTACGTCATATCTTATTCGGGCCATAGTTTCATAAAGTAAACAATGCTGTCCTCTAGGATAGATATCCTTCCCATCGAGAAGCAGAACTATTCAGTTTCACGTTGTTGCAGTCAAGAACGACAAAAGCGCGTTGCGGCTAAAAAGCCTTCATCAGCATATGACATAAATGGACAATGTTCCCTGGATGGCGCTAGGACCATCCAGGAGGAGGAGGGAAATGATAGCGTAGGTGCAACCGAGGGTGGCGAGGCGTTGGGGGCGTTCCTTGAGAAGGTTAGGCAATGTAATTAAGGGACAATGAATCTACAAAACCAACAACAACAACAACAACAACAAAAAAAAGGGGGGGGGGGAGAGAGACTATGGCAGCATTTAAAACAGGAAAAAGTACCGCAATTTTTGGAAAACCGCTGTGTAACAGAATTATACTTGTAGTGATTACTTAATTGTCTAAATACATGAACACAGTTTAAGTTATAATATATGAAGCAGTCCTCTAATTATAATAATAACGACTACTAGAACTATATCGGTAAACAAACTGTGAACTTCTGTACCAGAATAATATAGGCACACAAACAGTGAACTTCTGTACCAGAATAATTTCGGTAAACAAACTGTCAACTTCTGTACTAGAATAATTTCGGCACACAAACTGTGAACTTCTGTACTAGAATTATATCGGCAAACAAACTGTGAACTTCTGTACCAGAGTAATTTCGGCACACAAACTGTGAACTTCTGCACTAGAGTAATTTCGGCAAACAGACTGTGAACTTCTGTACTAGAGTAATTTCGGCAAACAGACTGTGAACTTCTGTACCAGAATAATTTCGGCAAACAAACTGTGAACTTCTGTACTAGAGTAATTTCGGCAAACAGACTGTGAACTTCTGTACTAGAATTATATAGGCAAACAACCTGTGAACTTCTGTACTAGAATAATTTCGGCAAACAACCTGTGAACTTCTATACCAAAATAATTTCGGCAAACAAACTGTGAACTTCTGTACTAGAATAATATAGGCAAACAAACTGTGAACTTCTGTATAAGAATAATTTCGGCAAACAACCTGTGAACTTCTGTACTAGAATAATTTCAGCAAACAGACTGTGAACTTTTGTACTAGAATTATATCGGCTAACAAATTTGAACTTCTGCACCAGAATTAAATCGGTAAACAAAATGACAACCTCTATACAAGAATTGTATAGGTGAACAAAACGTTGACTTCTGTTTAAGAATTATATCGGCAAACAAACTGTGAACTTCTGTACCAGAATTAAATCGGCAAACAAACTGTGACATTTTGGATATTTACTTATATCTTTCGTAACGTCTTAGTGGTAAATCAAAAGTGTGTTAACTACACGGAATGACAAGATCCATTGCTGCCGGTCAAGCAATTGATTACAAACTGTCCCTCCACGCGGCGCTTAACGGAAGAAGTCGCAATTGATGATGACCACGATCATGATGAAAACAAGGATGCAAAAAATAAAATAAAATGCTAGTACTCTGTACCGTAGGGAAGTCGCCGTGGCAGAGCGGCTAGACGCGCGCCGCGGATCGGAAGGTCGTGGGTTCGCTCCCTGGCGGAGACGGACTTTTCTTCAAAAATGACCTTGGCTCCTTGGTCGACCCAGCCTTGAGTGGGTACCGGGTGCAATCCCGGGAAGTAGAGGCGGCCGGCGTGATGCTGACCACATCACCCATCTTGTGCCGTTGGTCTATAAAAATATAGGTCTAGCCCTATATGCCCTTTACGCCTAAAGGCGTGGAAAGGGTCCTTTACTTTTTTACTTACTCTGTACCGTTGCGTACCACCTGGGGGTCACTGGGGATCGTCGTTGGATATACGGAGTTCATTATGTACGTGGCGCTCTCGGCACGCGGCCAGCCGTTCTGCGGAGAGAGATCGAGCCATATGGGATAAGACCCGTTGCCGTGAAGTCGATCCTCTCGACTTTTAACCTTTAACCTTTACCCGCCCAAAAAATAGTCCCGATGATGACCACGTGGGGTGGCGAACAGGACTACCTACGCGTATCGACATGGCACACGATAATGACGACGAACTGTTGAATAATGGCGTCACCCTAACTGATACATTCTGAAGATCGCAGGTTGGGGAGAGACACGATCGCCCACACCCGTCAGTAAGGCACTTGATGGCGATAATGAAAATAAAATGTATTGAGCAAATTCTTCGAAAAGATTACGTCTATATCTAATAAGAGGGGGAGCTCCGCTCGGTAAAAATGTGGCGGGGGGACTTAGGATGTCTGAGCCTTAGGGTCTGCTGCTTATAGTCAAACACTAAAACACTATATAGAATCTTCTTCTTCTTCTTCTGTCTCGTGTAGATTCAATAAATCCTGACATAGATGATCTTCCATGCCATGATGTCAAAACTGTCCAGCATCTGTTCTCTCGGTCTCCCTCGGCCTCTCCTCCCCCCCCCCCAAACTTTCCTACCGTCACTATTTATTCCAGTTTTTTCTTCACTAGAATACATACGTCATAAGCATGTAGGTATTTATTTAACAGCCGTTTTATCTTCGCAAACAGTACAGCATTAGGCCTTTGGTAATACTAGAATCGCTGTATGTTGTCCTGGGTTTCTCATTGGAAGGTAAATTTAGAAACTGAAACTAAACATCTAACGCTAGTTTACGGACAGAAAGCATTTGCCATTTATTTGGGTGGTGCGATAACAGCTTGTTATTCTGTAAACCTTATACATGTGAATATTGTTTTGTTGCTTTAATTTGCTGTTGTTTTGCCGATTAACCTTGAAACCTAGACCTCAAAGATAAGACTGCGGACAGCCTCCAGGGTAACTCAACTTTAGCTGTCAAATAACAATGTAATTCAAATTATTTTATTGTATAGAATTGTAGAATAACCTTCATGATGTGTACTCATTTTCTCGAAAAGTGGTGAGTGTTGCTTTGCTGACGTTGAAAATGAAAGTTAGCGACAATTACGTCCATGTAAAATCATTATTAATTGTATAACAGCCATGTCGGCGTCTGTGGCTTAGGCGTTGCTAACGCGCTTCGTAATGCCGTGGTGCTGGGTTCGAACCCAACTGCGGGTCCTGCACCGTGCGTTAGTTTTGACAGTGGTTTCGAGAAGCTGACCGTCCAGAAGGCAGTGGCAAAGTACTATACGTATATTTGCCTAGAAAACCCACAACAGCCAAAAATGGTGTGGTTGGTACTGCAACGTCCTGAAAGGATACGCAACAACTATAACAGCCTTACAGGAAGAAGACGGCAAAACTCGCCGTGGCAGTACAGGAGTCCAAGCTGTAATTTAAATTTTTTATAAGAGTCGGGGGTTAAGAGGTGTCTGCCCTTTTTGTATTGCTATTCAGTATGCAAGTCAGAGAAGTGGCCAGTCTCTCTTTCGGTCAGCATCCCGGAAGCGAAAAAAAAAAAAAAAACAGGCAGCCAGTTTAACTTTTTATTTAATGCTGTCCTTACCACCTCGGCTAACGAGTGACCCATTTACGAATTATTCGGCATACGAATATATTTTCACTGGGTTTTTTCCGGCCTCGGTTAACGAAATTTGGATTCGGCGGGCTAATGTTCTAGTCTATGCGAGTGTATTATAAAGCACTTGAACAGGGCGTAGCCACCCCCAAATATGTGTAGCCCCCCACCCCTTCCCAACTTTCAACCCATTGTCTTTGCTCCTGAAACACAGTAATATTTACACTAGTTTGCTCCTGCCAAACAGTGACGTAGATAAAAAAACTAAATGTTTGTGTATCTGGCTCTTCAGTGGAACTGTAAGTATCTGTATTCCACAAGATCTTCTGAGAAAGATGGAGCACTTATAGACATGTCATGAGTGCTGTAATACTGGTGTCAGATGACAGATACACAGGTTAAATTTACTTCTTATAAACCTAGCCATATGGCATTGAAAAGTGCGGAGTCGCAGATAGATCATTAAGGTCTGAGAATGGCGTTGTGAGGAGTTACCAGGGAATCTGGCCGACGCTCAACACTCACGGGAAGGGCGAGACGAATATACAATCAGACAGTTACTGGTGACATTGGAATTGGAACTCTTTGTTTGCTGCTGAAGATGGAGACGGAGCACTTATGTGGGTGTCCCCAGTGCTATGATATCGATTTTTAAATCAAAATTCAACATATGGCATTGCTGTCCACAGACTTTCATCTATGAACCAATGAATAAATAAACAAACATAATAATTAATTAATCAAGAATTGACATCAATGCACTCATGACATTCTCGGTGAAGAGGAGTCCTGATACTGCTGGTGCTGGTTGCGACCTGATTGCAAATTTACCTGTGCCCACCTGCCATCCACCTGTAGGTAGAAGCCACCCAAAGACACTTCACACTAATATCTTCTCATAAAGTTGTTCTACATCCCATGGTTCCAAACTATTTAAGTCTGTCATGGTTTTCATCTGCCTCCAAAATTTACTGGTTATCATGTCTCACTCTAATTGTTCTCCTTATCATGATGCACCCAGCATGGATGATCTCCTCCTGTTGCAGGTTACGTTCTCTTTGTAAGTTTATACCATCCGAGGCATTCAGGTAAATTAAATGTTAGTTGTGTATCCTTTACAGGACATTGCAGAACCAGTCCCAGCATTTTTTGGCTGTTGTGGTTTTTCTAGGCAAATTTACATCAAGTAGTTTGCCATTGCTTTCTGGACTGTCGGCTTCTCAATACCGCTGTCGAAACCATAGCAAGGCGCAAGGCCCACAGCTGGGATTGAACCCGGCACACTGGCATTACAATGCGAGTTCAAAACGCCTCAGCCACAGACGCCGACAAATTAAATGTACTTAATATAAACATTTTGACTCATCTCAATAGGTTGCTATACCCTGACTTTGAGAGTTAAGTAAAAATGGCCACTTCAGTTTGAACTAGAGTCTTCACTCTGCATTGTTCCATCATGGATTTCTTGCTGGGGCTACAAAAAGCATTGGCTCAAGGAATCACAAAGGAAGATTATACTGACATCTGGAAGAAGGAAACTGAACTGAAGATTTGCAATAGTAAAATACAGAAGATTTCTTCACAAGGTAAATACATTTTAGGTGTTTTTAAAATAATTAACATTTATAAGCAATCACAAATATCTAAGATCAAACAGGTGCCTGAACAGAAGCTGTAAATAATAAACAAATAGACATATACTGCTGAGCACTCTTAGAAACATATTAGAAAGGTTATTTTTGTCAACAAGTAGTTTTTTCCTCAAGGTTTCAACATCACCACAATCGGGTTTCCCCATACTTGCTCTGTTCCTGAGCCAGTGTGAATGAAACGTCCCTCACTGTTGTATATGAAAAACTGGTGAATAAGCAAGTAGATCCGGAACAGTCCAGAAATATGTACACACAGTAAATGTGTATTTCAGCTGATCAAGGCGACAAAGCCAACAATCGCTACCAGAAATGCAGTTTGTCGCTGATGGAAGTAGCCGGGCATGATGAGTTTGTTACTAAACACACATACAATTTTTATAAAGGTATTTCACCAGCTCACATGTAAACCGGCCATATTGAACAAAACGACACAACCGTTGCACAAATTAAAGGCATTCCACAGAAAAAAAACACAGCTCACAGTGCTGCAACCAAGCACTTAACTCAGTAGCTCAGGCAGCGAAACCGTAGATTACTGTCCAGTGTGGAAACTGCATTAGCAAAGTGCTGTCAGATCAGAAGCAAAAATAACTTCGAAGCTATACATTCTGCCAAGCCTTTCCTTTATTTTGTAAACAAAAGGTAAAGTGCTACATGGACAGGAATCAGACATTCTAGATAGCAGATCTACATCTGTGGCTACTCTTTAAATAATCTGTAATTAAAAAAAAAAAAAACCTTCTCACAAACATATGCTATCAAAATAAATAGTTTTTGGCTTTCTTTCAGACATTTATTATTTACTATTATATTAATTTTTTCATATGCTGACAATGTCTGTACTTGTCAGACACCACTTAAAAGGCTTGATGATGCATACCAATGCCACGTAAATGCATTTCAAAGGAAATTCTGTATTAGCAGCTGACAAATAATAGAAAAATAAAATGTCAACAGAAACATTTCAGGGCTACATGTAAGTAAGACATTGAAATACTGAGCATACACACAACAGCCTGGGAACATGCACACAACAGCCTAGGAGCATGCACACAACAGCCTGGCAGCATACACACAACAGCCTGGGAGCATACACACAACAGCCTGGCAGCATACACACAACAGCCTGGCAGCATACACACAACAGCCTAGGAACATGCACACAACAGCCTGGGAGCATACACACAACAGCCTGGCAGCATACACACAACAGCCTGGCAGCATACACACAACAGCCTAGGAACATGCACACAACAGCCTGGGAGCATACACACAACAGCCTGGGAGCATGCAAACAACAGCCTGGGAGCATACACACAACAGCCTGGAAGCATGCAAACAACAGCCTGGAATCATGCAAACAACAGCCTGGGAACATACACACAACAGCCTGGAAGCATGCAAGCAACAGCCTGGGAGCATGCACACAACAGCCTGGGAGCATACACACAACAGCCTTGGAGCATACACACAACAGGGGGGGGGGAGCATGCACACAACAGGGGGGGGGGAGCATGCACACAACAACCTGGGAGCATGGACACAACAGCCTGGGAGCATACACACAACAACAGCCTTGGAGCATACACACAACAGGGGGGGGGGGAGCATGCACACAACAAACCTGGGAGCATGGACACAACAGCCTGGGAGCATACACACAACAGCCTTGGAGCATACACACAACAGGGGAGGGGGGGAGCATGCACACAACAACATGGGAGCATACACACAACAGGGGGGGGGGGGGGGAGCATGCACACAACAACCTGGGAGCATGGACACAACAGCCTGGGAGCATACACACAACAGCCTTGGAGCATACACACAACAGGGGGGGGGAGCATACACACAACAGCCTTGGAACATACACAACGGGGGGGGGGGGGGAGCATGCACACAACAACCTGGGAGCATACACACAACAGCCTGGGAGCATACACACAACAGCCTGCATTGAGATGCACGGTAAGCAGAGTCATATTTAGACATGATGATACCCTAAGTGGAATCATCAAACCAAAATATCCTTTACATTTTGGACTTTGATCTTATTATTGTTATTGTCCATGCTGAGTGGTATTAGTGATCCTTTTTATTCACAACCTTCCTGTCTTAAATTCTGACACAGATGATCTTCCATGCCATGATGTCAAAACTGTCCAGCATCTTCTGTCTTGGTCTCCCTCTGCCTCTTTTCCTCCTTAACTTTCTCACCCTCAGGGTGTACTCTGGTTTTCTCCTTCTCAGGACATGACCAAATAATGGAAATTGTCTCCATTTCAATTTAGGCAGTCAAATATCTTCATGAATCACTTTCGTTCAAGACATCATTACTCTTTTATCTGTCCAGGATGTTATCATTTTGGTCTATAAAAGCACATCTCCACCACTTTTGGTTAACTGGCTAACTGTCAGTAGTTACTTCCGTAAATCAGGATAGGATTTATGTTAATTAGTTAGTTAGTCTGTTCTTTTGGGCCTAGGGTGTCTCATAGGGCAGAGGTCATAGCTCTCCATGTCTTGCGGTTCAATGCCACCTGTTTTAGGTACTGGATGTTCATTAGGCCCATGGTTGAGCCTTCCCTGATGATGGTTCTACATAAGGTCTATTTTGGTCTTCTCCGTTTTTTTCCCTTCTGGTGTCCATATGAGTGTTTGATGAAGGAGTCTGGTCTTATCTATTCTGACTGCATGGCTGATGTAGTTCCAGAAGCACTTTCTTATAAAACTGATTACATTACCTTGCTTGGTCTCTTGTCTTGTTTGCGTATTGAATCTGAAATCTGTCCAGTAGCGATTTAGTATTTTTCTAAGACATTTGATCTCTAAATTGTCTAATTTTTGTGTGTCTAGACCTACTGTTGCTTTCCAACTCTCAAATCCATAAGTTAGCACTGGAATCACACAAGAGTTGAAAATCTTAAGTTTTGTATGTTTGCTGAGTGTCTGTGACTTCCAGATAGGATTCATGTGACTCTTGAAAATTTTCTTTCTCAGCCCCAATTATTACAAAAGAAAAAGTTAAACTCAGCCAGCAGAAAGCAATATGTTAGGCAGATAATAAATTAAAAGAGATGAAGCAGGTTCAGAAACAATGGAAACAAGTGTGGCAGTAGATTAAATAACAGTTGGTTAGTTGGTACATTCACATTTTAAGATCACCACCAAACCTAGCAGAGATGCCATTGTTTCAGTGTGCCCGATGTCAGTTAGTCCTCTGATGACATGGGTCCCTTCAAACATTGGACATTATGTTAAAAATGTTGGTGAATTTATTGTTGCTGAAATATAATAACAAAGCCAGTATTATTATTACTAAATCTGATTTTGCTTTGTATTGCTAATCATATTCAATATACGTGTATTTGTGGGTGGGCACTTTTTGTATTCTGGCAACCAATATTATTAGAATATTATATAAGCATGAAAACACTTACTTGTTTGGCTCATGTTTAATTTATATTAGTGTCTTTTAAGTCTGCAATGTTCACTGCATAGGCAAAAAATGGGGACTTAATCTGTTCTGTTCAGTTAACCGAAGAAATATTTTTTCATGGTTATAACTAGTGTTTGTTTTGCCAATCTGTTTCTCATTTTCTCTTTATGAGGGTTTTGACTTCTGGAAAAGATAATGGCTGGTAGATCTGTTCTTTGGTACTGTCTTCCTTGGCTAAAACATCAGCACCTTCATTGCCTTTGATTCCGCAGTGAGATGGAATCCACTGCAGGTGAGTTTCTGACTTGTTTGACAACTCAGCATGGTCCATTTTGTTTAAAAACTTTGCAGTGTGCTGTCACTAGTTTTGGCCTCTAGAACCTCTATGGCTAACATGAGTCTGTGAGAAAATGTCCCAACAAGCACAGGTCTTAAAAAGTGACTCTTTAGAAATTTGCCTAACTCAAATGTGTTGGGCTGAAAGGTACATACATATATCACAGCCTATTTGTAAACCACAACACAATGTGCCAATTGCTTTTTTTTAAGGGTAAATGCAGAAGACAACATATTATACTGTTATAGTACTTGGTACATATTCTTTTCTACACACACTATAGAATTGTAGATTCCATAAGAAAACAAGTGAAATGGTTTGTCATTTAACTCATCTGCCAATGTACAGTATACTACAATGAGAAATGATGTATAGACCAAGTGGACATCAAAAGAGAGGCAGACCATGCAAATAATGGACAGAGGGAATAACAGCACCCGTGGGAATCTTCAAACATCAAAGGATACAAATGAGCACTCATCAAGAGATTTTAAAAATTGATCTGGGCTTATACTTATACTTTGTTATTTTCTTTATACTCATATTATGTATATTGATTTCTACATATTCTTAGTTTTTTTCTTTATATTCATATTATTTATTTTTTATTTCTAATTAAAATAGCGTTGCTGTGTGAACAGTGAGTGTCTAGAAGGACCAAATGTAAGACAAGCCTGCACGCCCAATGTGTGATAGTTTAAAATTAAAAATTGTTTGTGTGATCATTTGTTCATCGATATAGCCTAACATTAATACAGGGAAATTTTCTGGGAAATAAAGGAGCTGACAGGATCTTACCATAACACCCACTGAGTGATCTGCTAACTGGGAGGCCAGCACTATAAGCTGAAAATACCTGTACTTTTGTTGCATCATGACTTTCATTTGTTAATTGGCAGGTTCAACATCTGATGATATGAAGAGTGATATGGATTGTGCTGAGAAGAATCCTCTTATACCACTTCTAAAACAAATAGCAGAAAAACAAGACAAGATTCAGCACCAACAGATCAGTATCCAACAGCAGCTAAGACATCTACAGATCTGTCATGAAAGAGACCAACAGAAGCTGCAGCAGCAGTTTGAGGAGGCACAGAAAGGTCTGTCTGAAAAGGTTCTTGTCATGGAAGCATCACTTGCCAATCTGCAACCAGCTGTAGAAGCATGTGTGAGACAGACTGCCCATTCAGAAAGCCTAGGCATTCAAGAGAAATGTTCTGTCATATCACAAACATTTTGTAACCACATACTAGAAGAAATGAGGAAGATAACTGGTGGCAGTAAAACAGTTAACAAAGCTGAAAAAAGCCAGATAAAAGCTGAGAAAGAATCTCAGATGTTGAAGAAAAAGACAGCTAAAGATGTAACAGCAAGAGCACATAGAGAAGATGATACTGATGTCTCAACTGATTTGAGTTTTTGCTCTGATGATAAAAGTGACATTGATGAAAAGATGGAAACGCTTCTAATGGAGATACAACCAGATGCAGACACTGATAGAAGTGTTTCTTCTGCATTAGATGAAGAAAGCTCAAATTCACTGAAAGGTTCACTACGTTATGAGCTAAATACATTTCTTGTAAATGTTCAAAAAAACTCTTGCTGAAGCCAATAAATTCTGAAGATGTCAGCTATCATACCATCGAAAGAATCAAGGAATTTCTCCAGGGTGAAAAGAAGTTGACAACCGAACAGCTGCTGAACGTACAGACAACAATAACCACTAATATTCAGGCACGACTTAACAAAGTGGAGATTAGTTTAAAGAATGAAATTTCAAAGATTGTTTCAATTCTTGAAATGAATAAACAATCAGATTGTCAAATGAACATGATTTTAGAAGAAATTGAGAAGATAAAAAGTTTTCTTAACTCTGAATTGCCATCAAGAATTGTGTCACACCCTGAATGGGCAGCAATCTTTGAGAAGAAAAGTTATGTGAAGGCTGGGGATGGGATTTTTAATCAAGCTGGACCTAACAGATCTGATTATTCTACTGATGAATCTAGCCATCTTGACAAATATGGTAGAAATAAACATTGGTGTTCAGTTAGTGATGGAGACATGCTGGCTTGTGTTGAAGAATCCAGCACTGAGCAAGTGCAGACAATCATACTAATGTTATCACTGTATGTGCTGATGCTGTTAACAGGATGCAGCCCTATACTATCATCCTCTGAGCCAAAGGAAGCAACCCAGTTGACAGGGTGCAACTCCACAATCAGGGAGAGAACTCTCTCAACCTCTCGTCCAAGAGAAGCAACCCCCTTTCTCTCAAGCGATGACACAGCTGGAGAAACTAAAAGAGGTAAAACTAAGGGAAAACTTGCACAGCAGGAAAAGGATCTTTCCAGGCATTTGACAGATGAGCATTTGCAGTTTATGTTTGGACACCATAAAGAAGCAAATTACCTGTGTGACTTGAACCACAGCATACTGTCTTCAGGCGAGGAAGTCTGTTTAAAGTTGAAAGACATTGCCCCAGGTTATAACCTGCAACTAAAGGCTCTCATATCTGAAAGCAAAAATCTCAATTTCTTAATACAAGCTATTTCTGGCCCACAAGATGACAAATTACTTTGGCCAGCTACTTTTAGCATAAGCCTAATACTAGTGAATAAGCGACCACTGGCTACATCCAAGCCTAATAATTGGCATAGCTTTACCAAATCGAAAAGCTTGTTCAAGCCAAATAAAATGATAGGCCAAAGCACTGCCATACCCCTTTGTTACTTTAGAGATGATGTTCTGAATAATTTCATTTATGATGATACTCTGACTCTGAAAGTTTCAGTAAATTATGTTAGAAAAGAAGAAGACCCAGATGACCCACAAGACTGGTTCTTACCTGGCGAGTGATTTAAAGAATAGGCTTTATTAGTGGATAATTTAAAATTGGTAAATTTGCAAGAAATGTTCCATTTGGTAGAGCTACAGCATATCAAACTTCATTATATTCAGCTCTCAGTTACTGCTAATTGTTTAAAAATTATTTTTTTAATGGTACTTTACTTTCTAAGTTTGTTTGAATCATGTAAGAAGAGAAGATGACCCACTGAAATGTCAACATTTCAACTACACTGTAATCGTGTCACCCCATACTTGCTCTATTCCTGATGCAATGAAAATCAAATGAAATATCCCTCACTGAATTCAAGAATAGGCTTCATTTGTAGTAGTAATTTTAACAAAAATATCCTGTTCAAAATTCAGGGTTATAATTGGGATGTAAAATGTTCATCGAGTTCTCAGAGACATTTTTATTTTATATATTGTGGAATTGTTTACTTTAGACAATTGCGTAATTTGTAATATTGTTTCAAATATTGCTTTGTTTACACTTGTTTGGGCTGTGATTAATACAGAAATTGCACTGTAAATATTTAGATTATCTTACTAACATTGTGTCATTATAATAGTGGATTCATTATGCCCTTAGTATAACAGTTTAATATCCTCATTTATTTTATATTTAGAAATAATTATCTTCAAAGATGGCACGAGTATTCCTTACCCTTCTATAAATGGATTTACCTGTGTGGGTTCCAGGCGCCCAGTGTGGGGAATGTTGAGAGTGGCAAGCATCACTTCAGAGGTCCTAAGTAGTTAGCCTCCTTTGGATATTTTCTTCAGGCTATGCCAGTGTGGTGGGAAATAGGCAGATAAGATTAGCTGGCTCTGCACCACTTGATGGTGAATTGATGTGTGACAAGTTACATATTGTGAGGGCCCTTTGGGAGCGAGTAAACGGTGTAGAGGCGCAGATAGATCATTATGGTCTAAGGAAAATGGTGCTGCAACGAGTTACCAGGGAATCTGACCAACGCTCAACACTCAGGGGAAGGATGAGACGGATTTACAAATGGTTACTGGTACCATAGGAATCGGAACTCTTCACTTGCTTATGGGAGTGCCCCAAGTGCTGTGATGTCGGTTCAACATTCAACAAAGTGTGGGAAAAACAATTTTTGACCTACTGCCTCCCTAACAAGCATGTCACATAAATTCACTAATTATACATTCCTTTCAGAGTAATTATACATTCCCGTCAGAGTAAATCTGCCTCAGAGGCAAGAAACCAACAGTCTGCATACAAATAAACCAGATCTGACTTGTAGATGGACCGGCAGCTGCTGCACAACTTGGTGGTCATATGATTCATGAAAAGCTAGATAGGGTCAAGGCTCTTTGGGAGCGACTGAACAATGCAGAAGTGTGAGCTGGTCACAACGGTGTGGAGAGAATGTTACAGTAGGGAGTCACCAGGGAATATGGACTGCACTCACTCAGGGGAAAGGCGAATATATTTTTCAATGTCATTTTCGTTTTCAGCATACCAAAATCAGCTACTTTTATTTAGCACATTTTGGTTGTTGGCTAATGCTATTAATACATGGAGTATCCGGCACCAGGTTATTATACATGTTGCCATTCATCAACATCAAAGACGTGCCAGGAGGTGTGGGTGATTACGTCTCTCCACAATCTGTGATCTGCAATGGTGTATATCAGTTTGTGTATTTACACCCCTCGATGTCATGACAAAAGGCTGCCAAGAATCTTGTTGTGCTGTCTTCCTTTTTTTTTTCTCTTTCCACAGACGTTGATGTTACATATTTTGTATATTAAAGAACACTGCCAAAAAAAAAAAAAACACTGCCAATTACTGCCTTTAGTATTAAACCACTTTTGTGAGCCTAGGGATTTAAAGACCACATTGGTAGTGCTGTTGCCATGGACTGTGCAGGTGAAGATTTTATTTTGCCCCCGACAGAAAAAATCCCCAGCCTTACCGAGGATTCGAACCCGTGTCTCCATAATGAGAGCTCAGTTTTCTAACCATTTGGCCAGCCACTCCTCTTAAAGAACATTTATTTTATGAAATGTATGTATTAACACTGTGGACTTGAAATATGTGGTAATATAGTGGTGGCCAAAGATTTCAGAGCACCAAACTGTTTTTCAGCATAGTAAAAAAAGTAAAGATCCCTTTTCACGCCTTTTAGGCGTATCGGGTATATTGGAAGAGCGCCCATATTTTTACAGACCATCGGCACTAAGTGGGTAATGTGGTCAGCATTACGCCGGCCATCTTTACTTCCCCAGGGCAGCCATCCTGTACCCATTTTAAGCTGGGTCAACCTGTGACACCCCATACCATGATAAAAATCCACGCAGCCAGCAGTGGGTTTCAATCGCGGTACACTGGAATTACTAGTCAGACTCATAACGCCTGAGCCACAGACGCCATGTTTTTCAGCATGAATGAAGTTAACTGGTCAAAAAAACAATCAAGTATAAAGAAAATGACCCTTTTCCACACCTTCAGATGTATTGGGCATATAGGGCTAGGCATATATTTTATAGATCAGTCGGCACTTAGGTGATGTGGTCAGCATCATGCCGGTTGCCTTTACTTCCCTGGACTGTACCTGGTACCCACTAAAGGTTGGGTCATCCTGGGAGCAAAGGTCATTAAAAAAAAAAAAGTCAGGCTCCGTCAGGACCCAAATCCATGACCTTCCAATCTGCAGGCAAGTGTTTAACAGCTACACCACAGCGGCTACTGGTCAAAAAGTCACTTCATAATCGTTCATTGCATTTAGCAGGGAAAAAAAAATAATTATTCACATTGAAATGTAGCCTCCAAGTCTAAACTTCAAAAACTTGTCTTACTGTAGTCTCCGTTAGTTGCAATTTGTGTCCATATTTTCACATGGGTATGTATGCCTACACTGTAAAAATGTGTGTCCTTTTTACTAAACCATGTTCTGAAAGGGATGTATGCGAAAAATTTTCAGTAAAGTCAGCAAAGATGACCTCCAAGCTTCTTCAAAGTTTTAATGCAACAGTTGGCATTCACCGTGTTTCCCTGTTTCAGGAAGTTGAGAGTTGTGTCATCATGCACAAACCATTGAGTAATCCAGAGCTTTAAAGTTGGTCCGGACACTGTTTTTACTAATGGACAATTATAGGGTGCACTGGTGACACCACTTGTGTAGCAATGAGGTACCTACAGGATCATGATCTAGAGGGCTCGTGCATACCTCAAGATAGACTCAGATCTGAAGCACCCTTTGCACCACATGCTCTTCAGGAAAAAGGGCAACAGACTTAAAAGGGACAAATCATGGCTGGGTAGGGCAGAGGACGACGTCATGCAGGTCTACCACCTTACAGAGATCCATCCAGGTGAGGAATGGATACCAGCATCTAAAGCGCCCAATCTCACATTATCTTGTGTTGTGACGCTTGATAGTCGCATTATGATGATTTTACCAAATATTTTGCTTGGTACTGAGAGTAGAGTAATTCCCCTCCAATTATTGCAGTCTGTTAAGTCTCCTTTTTGGGGATTTTGACTATTGTTCCTTCAGTCCAGTCATTCCGGCAACACTTCTTTTTCCCAAATATCCTTGAACAATGGTTCTAGAATGCTAGCAGTTGGGATCTACTTTGAGAAGTTCTGCTGGCAGTTCGTCTTTGCCTGGTGCTTTGTTGTTCTTTAAAGTGTGGATAGCTTTGAGGATTTCTTTTTTGCTTGGGGGTTCAATAATAATGTCAATGTCCTGAAAGGCTGGTTGAATATATGGGGGATTTTTAGGATCAGGTCTGTTCAAGAGGTCGGAGAAGTGTTTAGTCCACTGCATGTCTTGTTTTTGTTCTGTGGTGAGCAGTCTGCCTTGGTTATCTCTGATGGGTATGCTGTGATAATTGTTTCTGTTTCCGCAGATTTGCTGGGTAATGCAGTTTAGAAAAACCCATTGTTTTGATATATTTTTTCTTAACCAGTACCTGGTGTGAGTGAGTGAGATTTAACCCCGACCAGAGCAGCACAGCAAGCGATAAACACCCGGTGACACAAAGTGCCACCAATCAGGGGAGAATCATGGGGTACAAGTTCCAGAAATCCTGTTCAATCTTTAGATAATATTAGTGCCCCTGATTAAAGATGGGGTGGGGCTTTGAAATAACAGAGTATTGTGTCCCATTTGTGGATGACTGTGTAACTGCAACACTACCTGGTGTTGGGTGAACCTAGGTTTAAAACAACTGGTAGCAGACAATTATCAATTGTAAGCATTTTTGGACCACTTGCTAGGAAAAGTGATACTGAAAGGAGGCCGTGATTAGTGATTAGAAAGGATTATCATCACAGTACTCCAGACAGATCCATAGGTGCTCTGATCTCCTCCTCAAAGCTCTACAAGTGTAAAACGACCGATGACGCCGGTTCTGTGTTGGTTAATGAAACATCTTGTCCCCTTAGTGAAATCTTCATTTCTTGCAGCTCCAGGCTGCACCCCCAAGTCCATCAGTCTAGACAGGGATACGGAGTCATGTCCTTTGGCGTGATTCTCGGTACAGTAAGTGCAGCGCATGGCATTGATAACATCACTTCTGTCCAGTACTGGGACCAGCAAGGAAGTGGTACCCTACCTCATATGGTGTGGGCTAATATACATACATAGACCAAACACTTGACATAGCAGTAGCAGTATCTGCTATGTGATTCATTTTTTCAATAGGATGATTTGTTGAGGGTATCCAATATAAAGGTTACAGTCAGGAGGATCAGCTTCATTGCACAGAGTTTTACCCCATATGGCTCAGTCCATCTCTGCAGAACAGGTGGCTGTCATGATCATGGTATAGGTGGAGATCGGGTAAGTGTGGGACTGCCAGCAGAGCACTGAACGTGACTACCATGGTGTGTATGCAGGCCACAGAGACCATGTGAGCTACCTGGAGGTGAGCTCAGATTGAGCTACCTGGAGGTGAGCTCAGATTGTGCTACCTGGAGGTGAGCTCAGATTGAACTACCTGGAGGTGAGCTCAGATTGAACTACCTGGAGGTG